TTTGCATTGATCCCTGTATTTTAAGAATGTTTAAAATTGCGTTCACAATTTAAACAATTAAAACAAAACCATTTACAGTTTTGAACTTTAATTAAAACCTGCAGTGTTTGGGATTGTCTGAGCTAAACATAGCAAACACTAAAGCACCAGTCCATTTTTCTTTTCATATACATTAATAAATTATAACATATTAATTATAAATGTTGATTAAAGCGAAATAAAAACGTATAAATACTTCATGTTAAAAATTCAACCACAACTGCTTTAAAATATACAAAGCACTCAACACAACAAAAGCTAGTTTTGATTTTACGAAAGAGTAATTTTAAAATATAAATCTGATAAAAAAAATTTCCGTTTAAAAATTGCACACTCCGTAAAGTTGGCTTTAGACGCTCACAATTAACAAAACATTTAAAATTAAATTGTCAAAATGCATAAAATCGTGTACCCTCCTGATTCATACTTAAAAATCACAAATGTTTATACTGTTCCCAAAACTAAATATGAATAGCATACAAGTAATACATACCGCATATTCTCGTTTTATAAACTTCAAAAAAAATCTCAATTTCGCCTTTTTGAAACAATAAAAAATATTTCAAAGGGCAATCAATGGGCAAAATTCTGTAAAAACAACAATTAAATAAAAATACAATAATTCAATGATGATCAAGCCGAGACCAAAATATTAATAACGAATTGTACGGTTCAGTGTAATAACTTCATAAATACTAGTTGAAACGGCAGAAAATCAATATACGCACGAAAAATATTTTGGGAAGAAATCGAAGTGATTTGAGAAATATTCATAAATTACGACATTGAGCTGCATGGTAAACGCGGTGACCCCATTTGAGTTAAAACTCGATCCAACCACTGAAGAGGTCCATTTAAATGTAATTCAATCCAACAAGGCGTGGAAGTAACCGTTTGTCTTCTGTAATTATCAAATACAATGTGGCAATAAAAAATGTGTTTTCATTAAATTATAAACAATTTCCATTTGTCACAATTTCAATTACTAATGTATACAGTCAGTCCTTACCTGTATTCAGCACCCCAACCTTTAACAAAAGACATACGAATAGTGCACATTCTCGTTAATTGGTAAACTGCCTCAAAACCTTGGCTCACAGACTGTGACAGCAACGCAGCAAATTCTTGATTGTTAAAAATTTTTAAATTACAACCTGAAACAAATTTATTATCGTTCTAAACTATTCTTCAATTTCAGGGTTGTACCTGGAGGTATTTTGCAAACTGTAGCAGGATGCCATCCATATCTTTGATTACAATTTGGCGACTGCACAAAAATACTAGAGTCACTAAGACATTCTGCAAACACTTCACCACCAATATAATAAAGTCTAACTCCCTTGCCAATGTGACGTCTGGTTTGTTCCACAACTGTATTTCTATTAACATTTGAAAGAAGACCCAGGCAAAACCTAAACACAATAAATAATCATTTTATTAATAAAATAAAACCAGCACAAAAAAAAGGAGTGACGGCTAATAAATCATATTGTGGTTGTCTATAAACACGCATTTAGGGGGGACAGTTTCAACTTCAATAATAACAAAATATACCAAATACGCAAAAGCCAAAAATTTGAACATTACTTAAGATATTTACTTTTGATTAACTGTTGAGAATAAATTTTAATTACTTAACCTATTGAAATAAATACTATTAATTCTAATATTAATACAAAATGAGAAAACATGGAAAAGGAAAATTAAATATGTAGTTGATAGAGTGTTTCATAAATATACATACAACATAATATTATGATTGATTAAACAGACCCCAAAGATTTGAGAATTTGGAAATTAGCAAGGTCTTGTTTTGGTATCCTTTCGTCCTACAGCCCAAAAAAAGTTCAAAAGGAAACGTTTTAAGAAAATTATATAAATACTAAAATTACTCTATGGTAATTTAAAAGATACGTTTTGTTGAAATTTTTCCTTTTATATTCTTTTTTGAGTTTCAATAAAAGTAAGACAAACAATCTTTAATTTTACCTTTCTGAATTACTAGGATCAGTGAAGCCATCAACAGTAATAGAAGGTTGACTTGCATGGAAAGTCTCACCAACTCTTGTATTAAGCTCATAGTAGCTTATACTGCACCAAAATGCTGGTTCACAGTACATTACAGGCTGTGCATCTGTATGGGGACTTGGAGTTAACCTTGAAAGACCTACAAATAAAAATGAAATATACTTTAATGAATAGCTTTAATTCTACCTTTCATAATAATTACTATAGTAATTAAGTAAATTGCACTATAATGAAGAGAGAGCATTATAAATTTAATTACTCACTCATGTTATCATTATGATCAATTGGATCACCATCCTCTGAAATATAACCGGGTGGAGGTGTCTCAGTTGGAGGAGCTGCACTGTGAGGAGACTCAAGACTGTTAGGTGGACCATTTGAGCAAATGCCTACTGCATCCATATAACTTTGGCTGTGCTGCATGTGTAAACTGTAAGAACATTAATATGACACAAACATAGGCATAGACCTAATATAAGCATACTTGATATTGGAAAATGAGGTATTTTCTGGTACTGAGGTGCTTAAATCTTCCAAAGAATGAGGAAATATGTTACATTCTTCATTTGTTAATGCATGCCGGGGAACTAGAATAGCTGGTAGAGCTACAAGAATAAACAAAATGCAGCATGAAATATTAAAATAAAACTAAATGACTATTACAGTTGTTCCTGAAAAGAAATCATATAAATTCCTACCTGGTGTTTCTATTCTGGTATAATGGTATGGATTGACACAAATTTCTTCTTTTTTCAAAGAAAAGGCAAATTCACAATTGTCAAGTGGTCTTAGTTCATGATGTGATTGTAACTCAGGCCACCTCCACAATTTACAGTAAATTACATGAGGCAATCCTTTGCGTTGTACGTTTGATCCTAAATCACTTGATTTTAACCTGCATATAAAATACTAGTTATAAAAACATATACCCAAAATTAGTTTTATACTAAATAAAAGCCGAAAAATAAGTACGGTGTATTTTTTTATAGAGAAATATATTAAAAAAAAGTATGACTTTTCCATTAAGAACCACAAAAAAATTCAAATAATATGACTATGTCGTTCTAATACCTGATATTTCTATACAAATTCTAAAAAATTTAAATATGAATACCTATGTAACAAAGAAACTTCAATCTTACTGGTCTTACATTAGCCAGACATTTAAGGTAGGTCAAAATCCAGACATAGTGGGGAAAGGGGAAAGAAATCATAACAAATCTATAATGTGACCTTAAAATGTGGAAAACTTGGTACAATGATTTGTTGACATACCTAGAAATAGTAACACATTTAGTGTTGTGATTTTGCGATGAGATGGCTCGTTCTAGTTCTTCCAGTGCACCAGTCTTTTTTAGTTTCTTCGCTAAACTCTTAACTGCCTTTTCACACCATTTGTCGTCCGTGTCATTGCCTTTTTTCCAACCTAGCAACCGCTTAACAATGGGTGGCGTAAAAGGCAACATACCACTCATCACAGTAATAACATAAACGAACTGGTTTATAACTTTAAAAATACAACTTCTTGTATTTTTTATTGAAAAATATGTAACACTAACACAAACACTACCGCCATGTTGAATTTGATAAGCGATTTATTTTTTGTTTGTGAGTATATCAACGACATCCGCTTTGCTAAACATTTCATTTTCGCACGTGGGATTCGACAGTTTCAGAGTAGCTGCGATTGATTTTTACGCATGCGTGACGCCTATTAATAATATTTCTCACATTTATATTTTTTGTCATTAATTTGACTATATTTTCCTAAATTGCATTCTGTATTATCAGTAATCGAATGAATAATGTATATGGAGCAGTAATTCCGTAAAATAGCAAAATAAGCATGTGGCAGAGAATGANATTTATTTATAGGTATATTCTTACCATCAGGGCAAACAAATTTCTTAAAGTACCAACTCTTTTTAACTACATTAGTCACAAATTCCGTTTACATTGGATGTCTAAAATAATAGGCTGTATTCCTTTTCTTTTTTAATATAAATTGCGCATGCGCATTTTCAAAAATCATGCATTCTTGTTCCACACTGCTAATTTTTGAAAAATGCCCATTTGAGAGTCCCTGTAAACTCACACCATATTATTTTACTAATGAAATTGTACCAACAAAGTACACGTACCTATATAAAAAAATTATAACCCTTTTTAGTGGAGGTGTCAAATTTTTAGAGAAGGTGTGGAAAATATGAACTCAGCCTGGTGGGATTTGAGGTTGAGATATCAAGGAGTCATACCTCCATCCCCTAGAACAGAACAGCATTTAGATGCAGTTGCAAAAAGACATATCCCCGCCGACATGCCTTACATGAGATACTATGTGGCACTTTTATTAGAATTTCAAATATTCGAATCGCTATGTTCGGCAGCAAAGCACAGGGGACAATTGCATTCGTGTGATATTTATAGATCGACAAGTGCAGGTCAGATACTAGAGTAAGTGTTTTTTATGAGATATCTGTATATAGTCCAGTTTATTTTATCATTTCGATTTTTATCCTTCTGCATTAACTATGAATCAAACTATACCGACAATTTTCAATTGTACTATAGCACTGTACATTGTACATATCATTTTGTTAAAGAAGTGTCTATAGGCAACCCATATTACTTTCTTGATTTAAAATTCTTTCAGATTTAGATTTAGATTTCAAATATTCATATGTTTAATATTAAAAGATAAAATACATGATAATCAGTAAAAAGTCACAGCAGATTATCTTAAAAAGGCATAATACCCTTCTTTATTTCTCTTTTTTTAGTAATTTCCAGAAAATTTTCCGCAAAATGAAAAACAATAAATCAGTTTTACTCAAAAAAAAAAACAAATGTGCCATAGAAACCTTTGCTTAAGGGCTGAACTTTTTGATAAATATTAAAAAAGTAATGCAAGATACTCTATAATATTCAAAACAATTTAAAACATTAATTTTTATTTTTGCTTTCTTATTCATTGTTTTACTTAATTATAACTTATATATTTAATGTTTGTCTCCTTATGTTTCGTTTTATACTTCAGAGATGCTCTTCAATTAGGGAAATCCAAACACTGGAAAGATGTCCTTAAAATTTTAACCCAAGGAAAGACGGATCGATTATCGTCCCATTCAATACTGAAATATTTTGAACCTTTGCATGCATGGTTAAAAATTCAAAATGTGAAAGAGCCTTTGATTGGGTGGAATTCGTCTTTAGAAGACACATATTTGTATCATCCGGTTGTACGCAGCACTGCATCAATACTCTCATTTAAATCAATTTTGTATACTGTTGGTTTTTCTTTTTTGTTAATAAATATTATTTAACACAAAAATGTGGGGTCTGTAGTCCCAAATACAGATCATCTAGCTTACCCGACTATTTAAATCAACGTTTTGCATTTCTTGGTAGTGATTTTTTAATTTTTAAAATGAAGAGTAGCAAAAAGTAATATTGATTTATCATCAGTACAAGTTCTTCTGTGCCTAGACTGTTTGGGCATACACCTCCACTTCGTTCTATCCCGCCAATTAGAACATTTGTCTTCCTGTTTTTTTTTACTCCTTTCTCTGCTTCTGATGTGTCTCTAACTAGCCCTTCATGTCTCAAAAGGTGTCTTACCATCCGACCTCTCCAAGTTGACTTCTATAACTCCTTTTGCTCTCTTACATTTTTCAATATCTTCTTATTTTTAACCTTTTCCATAGACGGCATTTTCATTATCTGCCTTTAACACCATATCTCAAATGCTTACATTTTCATTTCCGCCACGCCTACTACCTATTTTTCGAGTCCCTACTTAGCCATGCTCCCAACACACACATTTAATGAATTTTTAGAATTCTAAATTAATTGTTTGCAAGCACAGAGGTGATTTATATAACATTATTATTTTAATCAACAATTACAATTTTAGCAGCTTTCAAACATCATAAATAAATATGCAAATAATATACAGTTTATTAAAAAACTAAATTTCATTTTTAATTGGCATCTTTGTTGCTGCTAAATATGGATTATCAATTTCCCAATTAGGTGCTTCCTTTTCCTCAGTTTTAATAGTAATATTTTCAGTAGCTTTTTCATTTGTTTTGTTTTCATCAGATACACTGCTATCAGACTTTTGTTTCTTTTTGGGTGGCTGATTCTGGTCCTGAGTTTTAGGATCATATTCCAAGTCCTCTGCATCAAATACTTGATCTGAGAGCAAGAGCGCACTTAGATAAGGAGGGAAAGCTGGTTTACATGCTATTACTAAAATACAGATAAAAAACATAAAAACACATTAATTAAATAAATTAACTGCAGACATACATGGAAAAATATTAGATTCATCATTGTCAAATAAATTATGAGTTGGATTGGTTTTTGCCAAGAATTTTGTTAGTGCTCTCTCAATATCTTTTTTCTGTATAGCCGCCTTTTCTCTAATTGCTTCATAATCAATAACTGGCTGTTTGTGTGTCTGAAAATTGCAAAAATGCAAATAGTATTCCAAACAAAAAAACTAATACATCACTTACAGGGGTTCTAATATAAGCATGTGGATCTGGAAAAGGAGGTAAATGATGTGGAATGTAATTCGGAAGTTGCTGTTTTGTGCCTGCATGTAACATACTAAGTTGCTTTTGGGGCTGTTGGGGTTGTAGAGAGGGTAATGTACCATGTTTAAAACTCTTTGCAAATTTATCTAAACCACTGAAATCAAAGCCTACAAAAAAATTAAATTATTTGCCAAAATTCTGGATTATCAAAAGATAAACTTACCCATCTCAACAAATCCTAAAATTACATCAGCAATTAGGGGCTCACTTCTACTAGATAATTCACAATAATTTTTACTGACAGATCCAATCTCACATAAAACTAAGTTAACGTAAATCATTATTTCACTTTAAACATTTTATCAATAGAATACTTACAACACTGCAGCATTTCAGTTAAAGATCCTAATGATTCTTTATCACATATATCAAAACCAGTTTCTAAAAGAATGTTAGATACAGTAGCTGCAAGCATTTTTCTATACACATTTTCGTTTTGTTCCATTTTTAAATGTGTTATATTAGAACGTATATTAATCAAATTAAAGATAGTTTAAAATTTTTTTTCTGCTTAATTTATGTTTTCCAACATTTTATAGGTTAGCAAAATGTTTATCCTACATAAGATGATTACTGTTTCAACCCTAGACTAGGTTTCAACCGTTTCCATAGATAAGCTCGTTTCATTTTTTAACTGCCTTCATGTAAGTTTTTCCGTTTTAAAAGAAAGTTATGTATTTGAAAATGCCGTAGAATGGAAATTTTACTTTATTTATCAAGAAACAATTAACTTATAATTTGTATACAAGCTTATACAAAATGACATTTAAATCATAAACCTATATTTTACTTGAGGTCTTTTTTGACCAGAACCTTTATTTACTCTTTGTTCTACATGTACTACTAGAATTATCCTCATTTATGTATTGCTTAATTTGTTCAGAGGTTTTCTCTGACTTGAAAACCCTGAAGCAATATGTTAGCAATTTATCATTTCCAATGTAGTTATCCAAAGAATCAAAAGTGGCAGACAGGCAATTGTTTTTTGAAAAAAGATCATCATTGTTAATTTCAATGGGCTGGCAATAATCACTATAAATGATCCTTTTTTTTGGAAAATCTGGTTTAAAAACTTCGATTTCAAAATAATAATCAAGGGCTTTATTTGAATCTCCAATGTATTGTAAAGCCCAACAAATTTTTTCCTGCTTTGTCATTTTTTTAAACCAGAAATTTTCATTATAGGCTTCAACAAGACGTACAAAATATGAATTTGCCTTTAATTTACTACGCCCCACTTTTTTTATACCATACGTTTTGGTTTTAAGTTTCTTAGAATCCCAATGGCTCTTTATTTCACTTTTGCTTCCTGTAAAAAAGCATCCCTTCAATGGACAGGAATATTTCTTATATGAGCAAACTTTCATATGAGAATTTCTCTCTATAAATGTTAATCTTTCTTGACACCCATAAGAACTATTGGTGCATGGATATTGCATTTTGATAGCAAGTGACTCAAGATTTATGCTTCTTGCTTTTGTAAAATTTTGCTGGCATATTGGGCATTTGAATAGTTGATTTGTACATTTTTCACAAATACTATGACCTGTTTTACATTGTCTTATTGGAGGTGGCATATAATTTGAACAACCTGGACATTCTAGTTCACTCAACAGATTAGCATATAATCTATCCATTTTTTAATTACGAATCTACAAAAATTAACTTTTATTTATTTTAATTAAGTTAAAAAGAAAATCATACCTTATATTTAAACAAAAAGCGGAGTCAGATCGATAACAGGAAACAGGTCAATAGTGGTCAATACTAATGCAATACTATTTATGATACGAAATATTCAAATCCAACGGTCGCAACGGTCAGTACCTAAGTATATTTTCTATGGTCATTATATATTATGAAAATAATTTTAAAATGTACCAAATAAAAGTTTAAAAATTTGGGAACATAGCCGTAATCTTCCACGTCGAATAATGTAAGTCACCCTGTATAATGACCAGTTTAGTATTTTTAAACTGACCATTTTGATAATAAAGATCTGTGGTTGGGAGTTTTGGTAACGGTTGAGGATATAAAAGATAAACTGGCGGGAAATTACACCATTTATCAACGCATTGTATCTTTGCATTGCACGTTTCATTTCATACTGTTAAACCTTTCAACCGTTTTAGGAAAAACATCATGCCTGCTACGGCACTTATACTAAAATACTTAAGAGTAATACCTGAAGCTTCGGCACCTTCAAAAGAATCAACTAAAGCGGCAGGCTTTGATTTACGAAGTGCATATGATTACGTCGTGCCTCCCCAAGGAAAGGAAATTATAGATACGGGATTAAAAATTCAGCTTCCTGAAGGATGTTATGGAAGAATAGCACCAAGATCTGGACTAGCAGCAAAAAATTTTATCGACGTCGGTGGTAAGAAATTACACACTCAAGAAATGAATGTATAAGTAGTAGGTTAATATTAATATATTTTAGCGGGAGTTGTAGACGAAGATTACCGCGGAATTCTGAAAGTAGTCCTGTTCAATCATTCACAAATCCCGTTTTCAGTGAAAAAAGGAGATCGAATTGCCCAATTGATTTGCGAACGTATTTATTACCCAGAACTTGAAGAAGTGCAGGTGCTCCTATTTGTTAAAATTTATTTGCTGACTGCAGTAGCCAATTTGAATTTGTTTATAAATAATACCAATCGATTTTTTTTTAGGAACTGTCTGAACTGTCAAAAACTAAACGTGGCGAAGGCGGTCTAGGTTCAACTGGTATAAATTAAATTTTGTTTTTCGTATTAAATGTACTTAAAGTATTATTTCCATGTAAAATAATATGGGTATATTTTCTTTTTAATAATGAATAAAGTACTTGTAAAGCCTCTTTCATTGATACCAGCTATCTTAAGGAATTTTGTGAAAGTAACGTTGGTAACGAAGAATGGCAATTGTAACGATCGATCAAAAATGGCTACTGAGGTAGAACTTGCACAAAGTGCTAAAGCTGGTGGTGATACAATATTTGGAAAAATATTAAGAAAAGAAATTCCATGCAATTTTATTTATGAAGATGATTTGGTGAGAACATCATTTTGAGTTATAATTATGAAGTTTTTAGTGACAGCAAGTACTTGGGTGTCCTTATCAGTTTCAAATTTCTTTTATTGAATGATTCATGTATAGCAAACAAAATGCTACAATAATAAATGGAACCCAAATGATTAAATGAGTTAGCTATTACTTAAGTGACAGAAAATATTAATTTAAGTCTTTTGCAGTGCGTGGCGTTTGATGATGTTAATCCTCAAGCTCCAATACACTTTTTAGTGATACCTCGTAAACCTATCTCACAGTTATCAAAAGCTGAAGATGCCGATGAAACTTTATTAGGGCATCTCTTAATTGTTGCAAAGAAGGTTGCTCAAAAAAGAAACTTGAAAAATGGCTTTCGAATTGTTATAAATGATGGTCCTATTGGAGCCCAATCTGTCTATCATTTGCACATTCATGTTATGTCAGGAAGACAAATGCATTGGCCCCCTGGTTAAGTTAGCATGTTTGTTTTCTATTCAGTTTTGATAAAGGTAAATAAATGTTAGTTTCAACCAACTTTGTGTTTCAATTGTCGAAAATTTTCATTTAATGATTTTGTACTTGCTAGATTGATTCCCTAGTTGCTCATGTAATTTATTTACAGTTGAAGTTTTTGGTTGATCAAAGCACTGCACTGGAGGAAATTATGTTTTTGTACTATTTAAAATGAATTAATTGCATGGGTAGTATATTCAAACTTTTATCCAAATTTGTAAAACTCACACGAAATAATTGAAAGCAATTAACATCTAATAATGACAACAAATTAAGTAGCTAATAATGAAATCCATATGGGTACTATTTTAATTAGTCAATAAAACAGATGGTCTAGTAAAATGGTCAGTTTAATATAAAAATAGACAGCTAGAATGAAATTAATTACTGGTATTTAAATGTTGACTGTGGTATTAAGTACTGACCATGTTTTAATTTAAACACTGACCTTCAATATTTATATACTGATCACTTGGATTTACATTCTGACTGACAATAGGGCCTAAAAGAGTAATTAGTAAAATGTAAGCCATGTCTAAAAAGACAATCAAATGGAAGGCATTTCTAAGTAAAATGCATTTGTAAACGGTAGTATCACTAAATATATATTTTCATTTTGTATATAAATGGTTATTTCTAAAATTAAAGTACATTAATTTGGTAAATGTCTATCAAACTTATCTACAGCGTCATAATTGGTAATAATCAGTAAATGAATAACTTTCAACTAACAGAATAAGAAGTAAACAACTTGAAGTCAAAATACACACTTTCTCATTAAAAATTACATACACCAAAGTCAACTCGACAAATACATTTGTTGAACTGCAAAGTTTGTTTACAGAATTGTAACGATAATTATTATTACAAATTAACACCAAGAAAACGTTGTAAAGCAATTTTCAAATAAAAATCCTGAATAATAATAGGATGAGTACACAGCATGCAACACTGATTTTTAAGATTTTTCAGCAATTACAATTACTTTATTAAAAAAAAATGAAAACTTATAACACAAAAATATTTCAGAATTATCCAATAAAAAAAAATTTATAACAACCTTAAATTTAAAACTTTTATAACAAATAAGTATACCGAAGTTGATTTACACCTTGATACCAAAATTTCTTTGTAAACATTTAAGGTAGCACATTTACTTTAAATTTTAGAGAAGACCATAGCATTCATTATAGTAGTCAATGTTAAAATTATATATTTTTTAAAATGACGAATTTCTACGTTTGGTGACAATTATGTATATTTTTAGACGAGTTTAAGTAGACCATAATGTAATCATTATTGCTCCTCACAGTCGTAATGGTTTAAAAGTAATATTAAAAGCCTCATAAGTTTTGTAGTAACAGTCTCTATAGAATTAAATTTTAATGCATATGCCAATTAATAGAAACTTAATATTACAATAACGCAATTAATTTTATTCTTCTCATTTTAAATTTTCAATATCCTACAAGATAAAAGGTCAGTCATAAGTATATTTTTTCCTTAAAAAAAAAGTAGAACCAGCTACCATTTTCCTTATATAAAACTAATTAAAATCTCATACAATTTAAATTACACCAAAAAAGTAAACACAATATTAAAAATAGTTTGGCGATGCAGATTCTTAATGACAATTGTTTTTTTTTCTCAATATTAATAT